CAAATTAAAAGTTGAAGCTTAATCATTAAATTATTATCTTTGTGTTAGATTTATTAATAAATCACATTTAAACACTGATTGTTCCAATTAAATTAAATAAAAAGTAACACACGTTCTCTATCACCGTCATTAATCAGATGAACAAACAAACAAACAGCTTCATCTACCAGAGAGACTGACGTTACGTTTTCTCTCTTGAAACAGAACAAAGTGTTAAATTGTAGAGACTCACCTGCAACACGAGTTGGGAGTGAAACATGTTGTATCTGCTGCAGCTCGTGACTCCGACATGTTTACGTTTATCTCCGTGGTTCTCACGTGTCGTGTCGGCGATTTTCAAAGCGACAAGTTTCTCATTTTTTATCTTTGTGAAGTTCTCCCACTCTTTGGAGGACTTGGGTCAAACAGTTTTCGCTGCGTCATTTGTAAAATTTACTTAAATTTCCTTTGAAAACAGCCTCTGCTCTGCTCCCCCCTCGCTCTGTTCAACTCGCGCTGCAGTTTTTTTTTTCAAACTTTATTCAGTCAGTCAGCATTGACAATGAACTGCCCGTGAACAAAACAAAACAGCTCCGCAGCGCCGTGAAAGATGCATAATCGCGCAACACAACGAATCGATAACGAAATTCGTTGCCAACGCTTTTATTCATCGATTTTTATCATTTTTATCGATTTTATCGATTTTATCGATTCGTTGTTGCAGGCCTACTCATGATGCTACTTGTTCTCATAATGCTACTTGTTCTCATGATGTTACTTGTGCTCATGATGCTACTTGTTCTCATGGTGCTACTTGATCTCATGGTGCTACTTGTTCTCATGATGCTACTTGTTCTCATGATGTTACTTGATCTCATAATGCTACTTGTTCTCATGGTGCTACTTGTTCTCATAATGCTACTTGTTCTCATAATGCTACTTGTTCTCATTATGCTACTTGTTCTCATGGTGCTACTTGTTCTCATGATGCTACTTGTTCTCTTGGTTCTACTTGTTCTCATGGTTCTACTTGTTCTCATGGTTCTACTTGTTCTCATA